TAAGAAACCTGTATATTTTGTAAAAAGTAATTAAAACTGTTTTTCAAAACCATTGCGTTATTATTGAGTAAAATTAAAGTTGTCCTAACAAAATTATCATATATTAAGTTTTTTAAGGTACTTTGCAAAAGTACTAGAATAGTAATTTCCTTTAAGCCCTGCCCCTTTGCCTCTATGGCAACCAGTGTTTTGTTGATGAACGTGCTGACAGTGTGGGGGGCTTCAGTATCCGTCCCTGTTTGACGCAGGTTTTCTCTTCTAAAAAGTCTTTTTTTTTTCCTAATGTTTTTCAAATTGCATATCTTTAACTATGACAGAGGTAAGTAACAGGGTAACTTATAAAAAATAAATTCAAACGTAGTCATGAAAGATCAACAGATGCTAAGTTAGGTTAACATCAGAAAGCTAAAAGAATCACAAGCTGTTTAGCAAATTAGCTGTTTCTATTTTGCTCTAGGGCCTGAACAAAACAGTTTGATTATACAAAAATAAATTTGTTTTCACTCATCCGTTTATGTTAAAAAAAAAAACTTTAGTAGCTGTAATAGTGTGTGGCCTAAAGTTCAGTTTACTTTATCCAGCTGCTGTTTGTGACACTAATAATACTAAAGCATAGTAAACTTTTGTTTAAATGGTAGATTAAAAATGGAAACAAAGAAAAAAGAAATCAGTGCTCTCCATAGACTATCTTGCAGCTGTTTTGTTTTTCTCTGTGTCATGAATAAAATAAAAAGACTTGTGTTTTTCCTTACCAGGCAGTGAGAACATCATCCATCACCTCCGTCATCAGGAATTTGTTGAATACCAACCTGTTGGACAGTTCAGACACCAGTGACTCAAACACAGAGGAAGAGGAGGACGAATGTGCAGGAAGGGAACAACGTAAGCYAGTGAAATGTCTGCATTTGAAAGCAGTGTGTTTACTTAAAAAATCTCACTTCTGCTAATGTGTGTGMTCATCTATATTTTCTACCTTAAAGGATGTAAAAAGCAGTAGTTAGTGTTTTTTCCCCTACAGTATCTATAAATTTAAGCGAGACCCTGCGCACCAGGCAGCTGCTTTTGAACTTCCACAAAGGCAAACCTGTCCTGAGTTTGAGGGCACCTTTGGACCTTGTCAAATTCCCAACTAGTCCCTGCCCTCGTTGGCCCGTAGAGTGTGAGGTCATCAGCGACGTCATACAGCACATAGGTAAGTTTTCATCACAAGGCTTATTAACTGATCAGATGAACAAATCCAAGTAAAAAGAGTGAAGTTAAACTGTTTGACATCTTGCTGCGATGCTCCATTTTTAATATAAAGTTTATTGACCAAGAGAGTGTATATTTTGTAGAGTGGGAGCCTCCTGAGCCAGAGCCTTTTTATCAGCTGTTAGGTTATGAGGACGCACCCAAGCCTGTTGGAGAGGGGAAGGTGGTGTACTGCAGTGACCCAGGTAACTCCTGAAAAGCAGAGTTGTAAAGTAACCAAGTACAAATTCCTTGTTACTGTACTTAAGTAGAATTTTTAGGTATCTGTACTTTACTTGAGTAATTTATTTTCAGCCTAATTTTTACTTCTACGTCTTACATTTTCACACAATAATATGTACTTTCAACTTACATTAAAAAAAGACAAGAAGTAAAAAGTTGTTTTCTTTTTATTTCATTTTTACTTGTTTTCATTCCAGCTTGTTATTGTAAAAAATAAATACCATCCATATAAATTGTGCCTCCTAGATAGAGTGAATTTAATTGTGGTTGAATGAGGAGTATATAAAATTCTGATACCGTAGTTTGAACACAAACAAATCATGTCACACTCCAGCAGGACATAATCATTAAAATAAAAGGACTGTACTTAAGAAGTATTTGTATTTCATGAATTACAGTATATTGGGCCAGAGCCCTCGGATAGATTTATATTTTGGAGAAAAGGTTTGGGCACACTTGATATAAGTATACAAACTGATACTGCTAGATTAGTGCATCCTAAATTTAACATACGGTAAATTCATTATTTTAATATAATATAGTAATTTCTGCATTTTTTTGGGTGGTGATGTCGCCTCCTAATAAATGTCATTACAGAAAATATAACTGCTCATTTTAAATCAATACTTCTACTTTTAATAC